AGTACCATGTTTGAGGTATGTATTTCAGTTGAGGTATCCGCTCGGAATGGTCGCCGGTCCATTCTGGGTTCTAGTGGCCCTAGTCTGCCCACTAGAGAATGCACATGGTGTCCGGCTTTGCCGGCAGATGAGGTAACAGTCAGGGTCACGGTTGTGTGACGATTTCAGGGTCACGGTTGCGTGACGATTTCAGATTCATGTTCATGTTTTTACCGGCTTGAGGTTGAGGTTATGTATATACTGATATCATGATGTTATTATTTCCGATGTTTTACATTAGTATGAGTTTCCATGGAGCATAGTGCCATAGTGCTCAATCCCCAGTTTTATCATGTTTTTAAGGTCAGGATGTCGGGCCGGGAGCGTGACGTGACGGAGACTTCAGGACATTCATGTTTTGGACTGTATAACTATTATGATGATTTACGCTTCCGCTAATGATGTTTTTGATGACTTGTGACGATGTTTTTGATGACTTTTGACGTACTCAATTTTGACGAACTTATCTTTGAGGAACTTTTGAGAAATTTATGTTTTCAGTAACCGGATGATTTTATTAAAATTAAAATATCGGTTTTCCAAATTAAGTCACAATTATAAAGGTAGCACCCCGAATCAGTTTTCACAAAGTAAAAGGTTTTATTTTTAAAAGACTTTGCGAATTATTGCGCACTCTGATTTGACGATAAGGAGGGGTGTTACATTAGGTATTTTGAGAATGATGCTTTCTGCATAAGCGGAATAAACATAACAAGTTACTAATACATGTCATGAAAATTGCTCACAATAACACTGATTCGAAAACAAATCATTATACTTACAAGTAGATCCGCATTTGACATGACTTTTTTCCTAATCGATGAGTCTCTACAAAATTCGGCGCTGTCCAATACTGTGAACTTTTGTGCACCCGGTGCAAAACACAACAACCCAGAGAATGTCCCTGAATGTACAGGAAAGGAAAACTACAACAGACAAAACAACATGTAGTTAGAACCAAAAGCTAATATTTATGTTAATACTGAACTTAGATCGAACATGAAACAAGTAGTGAGTAGTGACAACCAACAACACGTATGTAAAAACCAGATGACACTCAAAAACCACTTGCACACACGCATTAGTACGAATGTCACAAATTACATTCAATATAAAAGGTGAACTCTCACCTTTACACAACAACAGGTATTTAAACATGTATCCTCTTATTTTAACATTGAGCACAACACCAACAAACAAACACACATAGATTTAACTTACCACTGATATTTGTTTCAGATTGTAAATAGACATCCGCCCAATTTCCGACTCAAGACACCTTGAAAAGTTATTGATTACAACATCCTTCTTTTTCTTACTCTCGAAAAAAAGCTGCGAACATAAAAGGATATATAATCATTGTAGCCAATACTATACGCATATAGCATCATTTATATGCATGCTGCTATAATTCATATAATGTTGCATAACATACCTCGTTGCACGGAGCTGTAGATTCAAAGAAACACGCTGGCGCACCACGACTCTTTAGCTTCTCATTATAATTGAGAATGAGCGCCCACAAGTCTAATATCGCCCTAGTAGTCACGGTATTCGACATCAAACACATAACATCCGCCCTCGATGCAGAGTATTCAGTCGGCTCGACCGACCGGAATATAATAATGGTGTCATGCCTTGATATACATGTGTGCAAAAAAAAGAAAAAAAAAAAGACAAACAGTTTACTATAATTAATAATCGTTGTCAGTATTAATATGAACAATGTTATTAATGTTGGTATATTACCAGGAAAAAAAAAACATTAGTCACCAACACTAATAGAAGACTTACTCGCAAGACAAATGATTCATCAAAACCCAATTAATTACCATCTTCTCGTGTCCATCTAACTTCTTATTAACATTGATCACTCTCTCCTTAAATGGCGACTTGATTATACTAGACGCCTTTGTTAGCCTCTTTGGCCTCATTTTTACATCAGTGACATCACCTCCTTATAATAAAAAAATGCACATTATAAATACACTTACAGTAAATTGGCATAAATTATATACAAGGTTATTAACTAAAGTACACTAGTCACACATACCATGATTTGAGTGAACGTCTGTCACGCGTCCATGCACTTCAATGTCGTCAGGATTATCGGATGCAACATCATCTACATAGATGACGAATAATCTCGTCAGCGTCAAACACGACGTACGTGCATTTCATAATAATATGCCACCACAGGTACGTACACAAAAAACTCTAAACATAGAGTTACATATAAGAATAATAATTAAAATATAAAAAAAAGCATGCAAAATAACTGTTATACATACCCCGTACGACACCAGCACCAGCATCGTCCACATTGTTGTTCGTAACACAATAAGCTAGGACAAAATAGAAAACATCATGACGCAATGAAAGAACCCATATTGGAAACAAAAGATAAAAAGAAAAGAAAATCAATCGTATATAAAAAATTAAAACAAAAAACATGACGTGATATACCTGTTGGTATATCTACCACAGTTGAGATGTCGACTACATTTGTTGGTTGATGGCATCGATCAGCATTCTCCTCCTCATCTGAAAGAAAGACCTAAGCTAAAGCTAGGTACATCTTCTAGTTGCATTTGCCTGAAATGATCCCGACGTGCAACAGTGTCGATAATCGCATCTATTGCTGCTATCGTGTCTGGATTGTTCCAAAATGCATCATCCGTAATCTGTGTCACATTACACTTGAAGTCTTCAGTACTCACATCGTGTGAGGGTTTCAATTATGTTGGAACTGCACCAGGGGATCCCGTTTGCACATTCGCAGGGTGACCGGAGTTATGTTGTCTAGACTTCAACTTTGATTCGTCTCTAGAAACACCGAGAAGCTTTTGAGCTGCACATTGCATCTTCACGAAATTTTCGTCCTCAAATAGAACGCGTGGAGCATTCTCGACAAGCCGTAGAATTTCCACACCGGTATTGGCAAGAATTCAGGTTTTAGCAGCAAACTCTTGCACAAATGTCTGAACACAACAAACATGCACGATCAAATTATAAAGTTTATAACAATGTGATCTACAGTTAAACCTTGTTACCCATATAGAATACTATAGATATAAAACGGTAATCCTTAATAATATACAGATGAGTGATCAACGTTATACATACTTGAACACAATTTTCAGATGCACGTGTCGGGTCGTCCTTGGAGGATATTTTGCACGACTTATCATAACGACAGGAACTGTCAAAAACACTCACATTCACATCCACAAATCCTCTGCCAAATGCCCCAGAATCTAACTCAGCGTGCTCTCTATCCATTAGTAGTTCATTGCTCCATGCCCTAAATGTCGGGAACAATCTCGGAACGGTTCTGATCGACAACACTACTTTATCCACATATAATAGCTGCATAACACAAACAACAAACTTAATTGGCATAATATGACCAGTATAAATAAATAAATAACCAATAAAGGCTTTCAAACAAACAGAAAAAGCATATTATAAGAACAACAAAGATAATTAATATAACGACTAACCGTCAGAAATAGTAAAGGGCCCGTGTATTTCTTCGTCTTAGCATTACCGCCCCATGTCTTTTTTGAGTTCACAAGGCAACTTATCATGTAGGAGCACCAGTTCATGTCGATGACCTTAGATAAATCTTCGAGTAGATGGACAATACGAAAATTCACCATCCCATTCTGACAGCTCTCAAATAGACATGTAACCATCAAAACAATAAAATGCCGCTTGAACCAATCGCCACCATCGGAACATTCTTCAAGCTCTCAAGCACCTTAGTTGCAGTGATATTGGATGTTCTCCAGACATTGAATAAACCAATCCATTCATTCAGAATGCTCGACTCGACTCTTTTTTGTTTATTCATTACGTGTATTGATCCACGAGGCAATCCTAACGCGGCATACACGTCATCCTCATTCACATGTATCTTTTCGCCACCATAAAGACTCAACTTACGGTCTAGGTGGTTGAAATTCTCAACTAGATAAAATCCCATTTTCGGCGGCAGTGACGTTATCTTCAAGTCCAACAAGTGACCAAACCCCATCTCAAGCACCGCCTGTTTTTTCACATCGGACAGACCAGACACAACCTTCACAAAGATGGCGGTTGTGGATCTGGTATTCACGGACCGGAACGCACCTTCATCATCGCTACCAGACTTGTGATCGTCACGCTCGTTGTCCGATTCATGATTACAAATATGTTCGTGGGTAACCAACTCCTTTCCCTTTCCTGAAACGATCATAAACTCAACTAATAATGTATCAAACTATTTGAACAAGCGTAGGTCGAAAAAAAATAAAAACTAAAACATACCTTTTTGAATGATTGCGTGTTCCACACAACGCGTATGAGGGATCTCATCAACGAAGTCATCACTACTACTACGCTGGTTTGATGATGACCCAACCATCTTGGCGCATTTCGCACGTGATGTAATACGGGTTGCTTCATCCACCGTTCTCTTATCTTGCACCAATAAAAGCTTATTATATATGCCAGAATTTATGCACATGTGTACACCATGAATTGCATATTTTAATTCAAACAAATGCACATTGTAAACATAGAGAATAGACAACACATACACACAACTCTTAAATAACAAACAACAGTAACAAAAAACACGCAAAAAAATAAATAAATAAATAAATAAAAAATAAAAAAAAATTGTCAAACACTTAAATATGTGTGATGTGCTACACACAAACGCATTAATTCACACACACACACACGACCCGTGCAATTAGTATTAAAGTCACAACTATTCACCTCTATGCTCGTTGCCATCAGTATGTGTTGCAGCTTTAGGTTGGTTTGAATTATCGACCAAACTACGTCGGGTTACTAAAAAAAGAAATCAAAGTTACAAGACACAAATAACATAAATAAGTGTACAAATAACATGAATAACAGTAAATATACCAAATTACAATGCTACAAACAACTATTATATAACTAACTACATAAAACAATACGAGAACACCTCTACGCGGGATCGACGGTTGAACAGTTGCGTCCGTATGCTTCAGACCACTATCTGCATTATGTTAAGGGACACTCTAATATTTACGCAAAATTGTAACAACCAAACAGCATAAAAAAATTATCTGGTCGTTGAATGACAAATTAATGAACAGACCGCCATAATTACCGGGTGCTTGAGTTTGATCATTGACACCTTGTGCTTCGACTACAGACCCTTTTTTTTTTTGCGTGCAGCTCCTACAAAACATATGCGTAAGGTCCACATTATATGTATATAATATGATGGCCATATAGTAACATACATATATATTACGAAACTAAAAAAAAAAAGAAGAAATAAAGTAAAATTCATATATATAAAAAATTCAGTGGTCAGAGTAACATACAAACAAGACATGATGTTGCAGAGGATTAACTTATCACCAACAATATCGGTCTGTCAAACAGGACATATTGCAAGCGAACATTGAATCAGATGAACGTATTGCAAACAAACATATTGTAAAATGATTCAAACGAACAACATTGATAAGTTCGATTTCTCAAATAAAACAAGTATGAAGATGATACACAAATCGGAAACAACAAGAAAAAATGAATCCAACGTACATATTATAGGTTTTTATGAGCAATCACTCAGTCATGAGAAAAAAAAAATAAAAAAAAAAACAGCAAATTTTCAACTACACTATAACCCATAGAGAGACCGAACAAACCCTAGGCTTCAATCGAGATGCAAATTCGTAAATACACTGATGTGAACCTCAAAAGCGGATAGTACCTAGATGTTTCGATTGAGGCGAGTTTCCCATTGTAGATTTATATGCACGACTAGACCTTGAACACTGATATACACTCTGATATGATCGATCGCTAAATACTGCATGTACTGTGAAATAGATTTTCAAGCCCTATACTGAAATCGAGCGAAAAAAAAAAGTGCAAACAAATTAGACACAAAAATTGAGAACACAAGCATGAACACGGAAGAAATAAAGAAACCATATGGACAAGCCTTACTCTGCTGCCATTAAACTCCATTACTCCTCGATAAAACTGAAGAAATTAATGGTCTGAGCAATTAGGGTGTCTGAGCAATGAATGCGCCGGCACATCGAAACACAACTCAAATGTAAAATACGATACTACCCTCATATCTGTAAGATTCACCATTAATGTTGGCGTAATTACGAGAATGCCACCGCGTTTTGACTAATCAACAATACTCGGTTGGCAACATCCACGCCGTCTATTTAATTGATCTAACTGATTGAATTTATTCTTATTTCTTTCACTACATGTCATTCTCATGTGATCCTATCTCTCTCTCTCTCTCTCTCTCTCTCTCTCTATATATATATATATATATATATATATATATATATTTTTATGGATGAGGATGCGATAGACTATGACTGACGCAATGATCCCAAATACTCGGAAGAAGATAAAAAGTGGTGTGAGCAGTGTTTGTTCTATCAGTTGGAAGAACTTAAACAGGTTGAGTTGGAGTCGAAGCGTCGTAGGAGAGAACTCGAGGAAAGTGGCATTGGGTGTGATGAATGTGGTTTGATGTTGCCACATACACCGGGGAATTGTCCTTTCTCTAGTTTACCTCCTATATCGCAAGAAGAGCTCGATTACATTCCTCCATGCTTTTTGTCGTTAGATAGTGCTCTAGAAATTTCTATTGTTGCCGAAGAACATGAAGAAGAGAAGGATGTCATCTTTGAAATATCCCCAAAAGTTATTCTCACTGAAGGGGTGGTTCAAGAAGAATTCTTTAATTCTGAATGTTTAAAAATTGAATTTGTCATTCCATATGATGAAGAGGTTGAAATCTTCATCCTGAAATTTGAGAGATATTGTGATGGTAAACTTGGTGATTATGACGGGACCATGATGCTCTCTTTTGGATTGATTCCTTACTGGGAGAAAGTCAAAATTAAAAGGATGAGAAGATCATCAAAATCATTATTTTGAGTTCCCTAATAGACATTCTCGTCTGGCTGAAGACGTTAAACTTAGCGCTTGTTGGGAGGAAACCCAATGTTTATTGCTTTATCTTTTTATTTTTATTTTTTAGTTAGTTATATTTTTGATTTGTTTGATATTTTGTCTTTCTTCCTTGCAGAACATTACTTGGAGAGATTTACATGGCGAAGAATATGTTTTGAGATCTATACCAAGAATTGTCATCTTTCCAATGATGTTTGGTGAGTCTTCTCTAATTTACTTTTATTGAAATTCTATTCTTCCCTTATGTGCTTCATATAATTTCATTCAAGTTTGGGGGGGAGATGTGATATTTTGATTTGAGAAATTTAGAGAGAAGATAACAAGATATCCTACACTATCTTGCATATCATTTAGTTGCATGTTAGGTTTATTGCTTTAGCACGTATTGCTTTTGTAGGATTTGAGTAGTTGTAGTCGGTCAACTTGGATTCACCTTGATAAGTTGTTATGCATATTGGATATGGAATTCGAGCATGATGTACTAGGTGATGGAATTTGATGATGAATTGAATTGTGAATTTGAATGATTAGTTGGTGCTTTTAATTCATGAATAGATGATCACCTGTGAGCTTTCGAGCCTTATACTTTGTTGATTGAGTGTATCGTTCATTGTTGTTGAATTCTAGAACTTGCATTGATATCTATATTGAGACTACATGGTGTGTGCTTTTTGTGAAAATGATTTAAGGCATATTTTTATTTTAGCCCTTTTGACTTTTAGCTTACCAAGTAATGCTTTCTTCCCTAGTCAACCATTTTGAGCTTTTGCGTATTTTATTGATTGCCACACATTAAGCTATTATCTTTATTTTTCCTTGTCCCTACTTGAGCATCTAGGATTATATTATGTGAAGGGATGAGTATGTTGTGGTGGTGAGAATAAAGGGATGTTTTGGGATGAAAATGTTATTTGGGAATTTGAATAAGGCCATTGAATGAGGCCAATTGTAATATCCCGATATTTTATCGGTATAAATTATGTTTTAATCTTGAAATAATAATGTTAACGTTTATTATTTTTGGAATTAATTATTTTTAGTCGAGATTACCGAAATTTATTTTCGACGTACCGTTTACGTTCGGAATAATTTTGGTAATTAAGTATTATATTTAATTTAATAATTAAACATAATTTAAAGGATTAAGTAATAATTAATCCTTGATTTAGCATTAAGTCGTCCAAATCTCCAAATATATGGCAAGCCGTGCATTACAAGTATTTATGTTCCAAATTGTACCCTATTTTTCCTAAGTCTTAAGGACTTGTTTTTCCTTGCATTCATTAAGCTTC